TGTAACATTATTTATTTAAAGTGGTTCTTGAAATTCTTGTGAGCCATCCCGTAATACATGGGATGCAATTGAAGGAGCGATGAGATTGAAAGAGTGAGATGAAAAAGCAGAGGGAGAGTCCAAAATATATATATAGTCTTTAGCCATGCCACCATCATCCTCATCTTCTGAGCTTGAACTCGAATATGCTTTGGCTTTTTGTTTTCTTAGCTTTAAGAACAAGTTAGATGAGTTAGGCACAAGAAACAAAGTCAAATTAGTTGCACAAGGTTATAATCAAGAAGAGACATAGATTTTGTTGAGACCTCTACTCCCATAGCTAGACTTGATGCCATTCAGGATGCTCCTTCCATTTGCTTGTCATAAGAATTTTAATTATATTAAATGGATCTCAAAAGTGTATTTTTGAATGGGTTTTCGACAGAAGAAATTTATGTTGCACAACCCGGCCCTCATGAGTTTTCAAACCACGTCTATAAGTTTCATAAAGCTCTTTATGGCTTAAAACAAGCCCCTAGAACTTGCTATGAAAGACCATCCAAGTTTCCCTTTGGTCATAGTTTTTAAAAGGCATGATATATTGTGCATTATTCATCAACCATGATAAATTTGATATCATCCTTCTTTAAATATATGTTGATATTATTTCTAGTGCTACTAACAAAAATCTTTGCAAAAATTTCAGATTATGATGGATGAATTTTTTATATGAGTATGATAGGAGAATGAAATTTCTTTCTTGGCTTACAAATCAAACAAGAGGATGATTATATTTTCATTAGTTAAGAAAAATATGCAAGGGAACTTGTTAAAAAGTTCCATATGAAAGACGCAAAGACACCTCCAGCTCCATGAGCACCACCACAAAATTAAATAATGATGGTAGATGAGAAACTCCACAAAGGTACGATATAACAATTGAAGTATATAATATGACTGATTACAAATAACAAGTCTATGCAGGAAAAGATACATAACAATAAGCTGCTTGATAATAATATCATGATGTCCTGATTAAATAGTACATAAAGAATCTACATAAAAGCTGAAGAGTCTGATAAGGAAACATAATGATAAAAATTAGAACTAGTGGGTGGGAAAGGCTTGGAACTACTTGGTACTCAATCCCTAGTACTGACTGTTAATTGTTAGCTCCTGTGGTTAAATCTGGAATTATACAGATATATAACAGCAAAAACTAAACAGAAAAATGAAGTGCAGTAATTTAAAATTTTCCAACTCAGCTGCTGTGCGTTTGTAAAACGTTGTGGTTAAAGCATTATTTGGCTTACTCCGGTGCAAGGATCCCAATGCCAAATTGCTTCTAGGAACAGCAGTCCAGTATTCTTGTGTGCACCGACCCAGTAGTGTCAAGATCTCCTCGATCTATCAGGCAAAGATCTCCTCGATCTATAAAACCTTTTCGGTCTAGGCACTATTCCTACGAGCACTAGCTATTCTACAATATATATTTGTATATATTGATTGTTATTTTTTTAATGAATTTTCCTTAAGGATTTGGTGTCTATTTATAGCGTTCGGAAAAATACTATGCACTAATAAAATAATAATATTTTACTATACATGTGGGGCTCATGTCTTAAATTTTCTTCAGTGGGGCCCACAACTTTTGAAAAAACAAATATCACATGGGCTGCTACAGCAGCCCATGTTTTCTTTTGAAAAAATTATTCAACAATCCCCCACAATTTTTTTAAAAAACTAGTGTTGTGTAACGGTGTCGTCGTTTCAATCGTTGTGCATAAGGTAGATGTCACAATGACTTGAATCCTCTTTAGATCAACTGAATAAAAGATAGGTGCATGGTGTCGCAGAGACTTGAACCAACACATGTCTAAAAATCCAGCGATCACATAAGATCAAACTTATCTGTGGTAGTTTTCACTGTGAACCACACTTGCTTTGTCTTTGCCTTTGCCTTTGCCTTTGCACATTTATGGTCCTGTGCATGTCTTGGTTTCTACGATATCTTTCCACAAGACATCATAGGAGACGGCCAAATCTCTACCCATGCATAGGTGAGTTCTTTAGGCATGTTTCCTATCAAACACCCTGCATCCGAAATGCTTTGAATTCATTAAGGCTTAAGAGCCACCCTCTCTCATGATAGGATTCTAGGTGAGTCCTTTAGGTGTGTTTCCTATCTAACACCCCGCATCCAAAATGCTTTGGACCCATTAAGGCTTAACAGCCATCCCCTTTACATGATAGGATTCTAGGTGAAAAGATCAAAGTTTTACTCGGGTAGTTCAGCCAGGTAAGGATAGTATTAGAGGTTGATCAAAGATCAATTAAGTACATCGTTCCTTATGGAGCACGTTATGTAACCCCCAAACCTTGCCTTAAACACCGACTAATCCAAGAAAACTTGAACCATTTCACTTGTAAATCTTACTTGACTTTTGAACCATTTATCTTGTCATTGGTAGCATACGCTTTGAACTAATAACTAGATGTAAATGGTAAGTATTTGTAAGACTCACCAAACTTTGAAAATTTTACTTGATTTTTGAACCATTTATTTTATTATTAGTAGCATAAGCTTTGAACTAATAATTTAATAAACATGATAAGTATTTATAAGACTTACAAAACTTTAAGACCCATTCCAGCAGACGTCCTTTTGACTATGTCCTTTTTCAGACCCTTAGTCAAAGGATCAACCACATTCTCTGAAGATCGGACGTCAATCACAGAGATGACTCCTTGACAAATGAGCTCTCTCAAATAGCCATGCTTCAGACGAATGGTCCGTTTCTTTCCATTGAACATCGAGTTTGCTGCCACAGCACTCGCCGCCTGATTATCACAATAGATAGTAATTGCGCCTTGCAATCCTGTCAATGGAAGGTCTCGGAGAATACAACTGAGCTACTCAGCTTCATCTCCTGCAACACAAAGTGCGAAGAACTCAGATTCCATCGATGACTGTGCAATCATTGTCGGTGAGACGTCGCTAAGGTTATTTCGGGCTATTACGATAAAATAGCGGTAAAAAGCGCAAAGTTAAATAGCGGTCTAATTTAGATATGTATAAATACTAAAAAAAAGAAAAATTAAAGAAAAATCTAAGAAATCTAAAAGACATATTAGATAATTTAAAGAGATCCTAAATATGAAATAGACATGTAACCATCACGTAATACCGAAGATGACTGGAGGAGTCAAAAAATCATCGTCTTCAAGAAGAATAGCTTAACGGTGACAGGACTACCCTAAGAGGAGCTCACGGTGAAGGAGGTGAGAGGAAGTGTATCAAGGTAGGTGTCAGAGGCTATGAGAGGTGACGGGAGTATGCTGAAAATCACAGGAGACGGTGGAATGCAATGGTCAAGGGTTGAGTTCAATTAAAAAAAAGCCTCAAACCGCTTTTAAATAACAGTCAAAAAACAAATTTTGAATGCAATCGCTCACTATTTACCGTTATGACACACTATTGGTTGCTTTTGCAAACAGACATATTCCACAATATGTCACCGCTATTGCGCGATAGCGTAGCGGGCGATAGCGTCGCGGGAAGGGACCGCTAACGCTATTAGCACTGCTATTGCGGGGCTATTTACCGCTATTTATAACAGTGAGCCCATGAAGCCAAAGAGAAAAATAAACTCTTTAAATTTTCATGAATTAATGAAGCCCAAAACGTCAAAGCCCATGAAACAAAGTCTTACCTCTTGTACGCATTGTGAACAATCCAAAAATCAAGCCAGAAGCCCATGAAACAAAAGCCCAGAACCAAAACAATGAAGCATGAATCATGAAGAAATGAAGCAAAGCTCAAAGGAAAATCACGAAGCCCAATGAAAAATCAACAAGCAAAAGGCCCAAGAATCCAAACCCAAAAGCTCAAAGGCTAAAAATGATTCATTAGGGCTTAAGTCTTCATCCAATGGCTCTTATTCATTATTGTTTACTATAAATAGGGATAGAGAGTGAGGGGTTAAAGGGGTAAAAATTTTTGTATCTCCTTTTGGAGAGGATGGTTACTCTTAATTGAGAAGATCTTCCAAATTTATAACTTTTTGTTACAATTAATAAAAGAATTTTTTTCACCACTTTAAATATTTTTTCTCTTTGTTGGATAATGAAGATGGAGATGAAGAATTATTTGGAGGTTTGCATTTCTTTTATTTTTCTCTTTTATTTCTTTTTTATTGCTTATTAGTTTAGATTTATTTCTATGCTTGTAGTTAGATTTTATTTTCTTGTTAAATAGCCAAGAGGCTAGAACCATCTTGCCTTAGATTTATTTCATGCTTATAGGTTAGATTTATTTTCTTGTATTTAATTCTTATAATTTATTTTGTAGTTTAGATTTTGTAATTTATTTTGTAGTTAGATTTTAATTTCTTGCACTATCAACTTGAGGCTCGAACCCTCTTAGGTTTAGTTTTTCTTTTTGTTTATTTTTATTTTCTTTGATTCGTCTTTAGGCTAGAACCCTTTAAGGAATCACCATTTTCTAAGAAGTGGGTTCAATTTTAGATTACCCATATCTTTAATTGAATCCACCATCTTTACTTTTTTGAATTTTATTTTTCATTCTTGATTTTTATTTGTTTCTTAATTTTTCATTCTTGCCTTGTTGATCACATTTATTTTTTTTATCACTTCCACTCTCAAATATATTCATTTACACAATCATTTTCATTCTCTCCATCTCTCCATAATCACACTTATTCTTCACTCCTATTTGTCACGCACACAACATAAGAACCGATTTATATTTTCTCCTACAAAACACCTTTCTCGTAGGATTGATAACTTTTTATACTATAACTTGACACGGTTGTGCACTTGTAATATTTTTGGTATATGTTTATGCCGCATCAGCTTCTTAGACTTCCACGAGATGACAGCTCCACCCATGGTGAAGACAAATCCTCCAGTAGATCTGCACTCATCTGGTTCTGAGCATTAGCTCGCATCTGAATAGCCTTCGATTACACCCAGATATCCAGTGTATAATAGGCCCAGACCTGTAGTTCCTTTCAAGTATCTCATTAATCTTTGGACAACATCCCAATGTAGCTTTCCAGGATTACTTGTGAACCTACTAAGCATTCCTACAACGAATGCTATATCTGGCCTTGTGCAGCTCATCACATACATATGACTCCCAATGATCTTTGAGTACCTCAGCTGCTCTACTGGTCTTCCAGTGTTCGGTAGAAGTTTCTTGTTGTAATCATATGACACTAACAGTTTTGACCGGTCGTAGTAGTCATACTTCCTTAGCATGCTCTCGACATAATGAGATTGAGACAATCAAATACCCTCTTCAGAGTATATGATTTTGATTCTGAGAATCACGTCCGTAGTTCCAAGGTCCTTCATGCTGAACTGTGCTGAAAAAATTTCTTGGTAGATATTACTATCTCCAAATCACTCCCTATGATGAGCATATCATCCACATAGAGGCAGATGACCACCACCTTTCTTTCAATGACCTTGATATATAGACACTTGTCGGATTCACTGACTTGATACCCATTGTTACGAACAACGCCATTGAACTTCTCATGTCAGAGTTTTGGTGCCTGCTTAAGTCCATATAATGACTTAACAAGTTTACAAACCTTACCAGCTGGAGCATCAAGTCCTTCTGGTTTCTCCATGTAGATTTCTTCTGTGAGATCTCCATTGAGAAAGACAGTCTTCATATCCATCTGATGTATGACGAACCTTTTAATCACCGCCCATGCGATAAGCACTCTGATGATAGTGATCCTACAAACTGGTGCATAGATATCAATGAAATCTATACCTTCTTTCTGAGAGAATCCTTTCTCCATCAAACTTGCTTTGTACTTTTTAATAGTACCATCAGGACGAAGCTTCTTCTTGAAGATCCACTTGCAACTAATAGGCCTTGCACCTTCAGGTACATCCACCAGATCCCAAGTATGATTTTGGACCAATGAATCCATCTCATCATCTATAGTTTCTTTCCACAGAAGAACATCTATTGACTGCATTACTTCTTGAAAAGTCTGTGGGTCTCCTTCCACATTATAGGTGATGAAGTCATCTCCAAAATCTTTTTGCCTCCTGATACGCTTGGAAGATGGTTCGATAACTCCTTCATTATTGACATTTTTAGTTTCTTACGAAACTTGCTCCTCTGGTGCATCTAACGTACTAGCATTCTCTGCTGTATCTTTGAGCAATAAGTCTTTATCTTTGATAAACTTATCCTCAAAGAATTCTGCATCTCAAGCTTCAATGATGGAGTTGGTTCCAAGGTTCAGGAACCTACAAGCATTGCTATCTTTAGCGAAGCCAAGAAACACACATTTGTTAGCCTTTGGTTTGAGCTTAGGCCTTCTGATATCTGGAATTCAAACATATACTTGACACCCCCACACTTTGAGATTATCCAAAGAATCTAGATATCCCAACCATAACTAATGGGAAGTATTATCAGCTTTAGAATATGGTACTCTGTTCAAAATCCAGTTTGTCATTAGCAAAGCCTCTCCCCAATAGCAGGTAAGTAAACCAGATGTGATTAGCAACGAATTCACCATCTCGGTCAATGTGCGATTCTTCCTTTCTGCAATCCTATTAGATTGCGGAGAATACGGAGCAGTAGTTTCAGCAATGATTTCATGCTCCTTGAAGTATGTTTTCGTCTCCTTAGATCGGTATTCTTCTCCTCTATCGCTCCTGAGTCTTTTCACCTGTAGTCCAAGCTGCTTCTCCACTCGAGTCCGAAACTCGATAAATTTACTGAATGCTATATCTTTAGATTTTAGCAGGTAAACGTGACAGAAGCGAGAATGATCGTCAATGAACGTGATGAAGTACTTTTTGCCACCACGAGTGACGAAGCTATTGAAATCACAAGTATCTGAATGAATCAGATCCAACAGTTTAGTGCTCCTCGTGATACTTGAAAATGGCTTCCTCGTCAGCTTTGCTTGCGCGCAAACTTCACACTTCTCAGGTTTATTACCCTCATATTTTAGAAGTAATCCTAACTTCTCCATGCTGGATAATTTTCTATAATTTACATGTCCCAGCCTATTGTGCCATAACACAGAGAAGTAAGCAGAAGAGGATACTTTATTTACAATGGGGTTGGGTGCACTCGTACTGATTTTATACATGTCATCAGTACGATATGCATTGCCAAAATATATTTTCTTGAAGGATAATACAGCCTTTCCTCCCTGGAAATCCAGCCTCATGCCTGCATCACATAACATGCTTCCAGAGACTATGTTTTTGGCAATTGAGAGAATGTATTTCACATCCTTCAATGTGAGAGTCTTTCCTGAAGAAAGAGTCAGCACCACAGTCCCAGTTCCAAGAACGAGAACCACAGAATGATCAGTCATTGATACATTCTCTTTGGTAGCAACATAAGAAGAGAACATATCTCTATTGGAGCATACATGACAAGTAGCACACGTATCTAACCACCAACTAGAGATGTTGCTTAGAGTTGTTACCTAGAAGAGCATGGCCACACAATCATCAACTTGATTGACATTGTGTGTTGTTTCCTTCTTTGGTGCTTTGCAGTCTTTGGCAAAATTTCATTGCTTCCCATAGTTGAAGCATTTGCCGCTTTTCTTGAACTCTTTCTTCTGGACGTTCAGGTTCTTCGGATTCTGATTCTTCTTTCTGTTAAAAGACTTCTTCTTCTTGAAAGATGAATTATTACCCTTTTCAGAGTTAGTAGCCATCATGTTAGCAGACGCCTTTTGCTTAGCAAGGAGCTTAGTCTTCGTGCTGTTGGCCTTCTTGTTTTGATGATGTTTAACAAACAATTTACCACTAATGTTGTTTGTCTAGTATTTGTGTATTCCTATTTATTGTAGACGAACAACGTAGTTGGAGGTTGTATGGATTGCGCTTCAACGATGATATCCAAAGGAGGTTGGCGGAATGTCGGGTTGAAGCCTATACAATTCAAGTTAAAGATCAAGTTCAAGCTTCATCCGCAAGTGTACCAAGTCAAGCTTAATTGAAGATCAAGATTGCTTGGGTAATTTAGTTTAGGGTTTTATATTATGTGTGTTAAGTACGTTAAGCTCAATATCTATACACACATATTTATTGGTTTCTTCGTATATATATATATATATATATATAGTTATATATATATATACATAAGTTTTGGTTTCTATGCATATATATAGTTCTATATATACATACATAGTTTTTGAGTTTTCATGTTTATAATATGAAATCACATATTTCATATTTACTATTGTGTTTTTAAAAACATTACATAGAATATGCAATTTTGTGAAAATATTGTATTCTCAGTTTATAAACTTGGTCGACCGGTCCGGTCGACCGAAAGCTCCATCGGTCGACCGCACCGGTCGACCGACGAAGTCTCTGCTCGTTTTCTTTTGTTTTGACCTGGATAGCGGTCGACCGGACTTTTCCGTCGGTCGACCGAACTTCTCCATCGGTCGACCGACAGAAAAGTCCAGTCGACCGACAATAGATCCGTTGCACTCCAACGGCTATTTTCTGAGCTGATTTTTCTGGGGCTTTTTGGACTTTTGCTTGGGGTTTTGGCTGAGTTTTGGAGTGGGTATAAATACCCCATTGGTGTCATCTTTCAACCAACAAGAGAATGGTTTAAAAGATTTTAACAAGGGTTTAAACTTGTTTAGTGTTTGTTTAGAATTTTCCGGTCGACCGATGAATTTTCCGGTCGACCGATGAATTTTCCGGTCGACCGATGAATTTTCCGGTCGACCGATGAATTTTCCGGTCGACCGACGATGTTGTTTTCAGCTTCCAACGGCTAGTTTTTTGACCGTTGCCTTGGGGTTGTGTTTTGTCTTTTGCTCAGGTTTTTGGCTGAGTTGAGAGAGGGTATAAGTACCCCATTGCCTTCAACTCTTAAACTAACCAAGAGGGTTTTTAATCAAGTTTAATAAAGTTTTTAACAAGGGTTTTAGTTTGGTTTAAGTGTGTTTAAAAAGCTTTTAAGCAAATTGAGAGTTTGTTTTTGTGATTCAATTCTACAAGAGCTTGAGGAGATCATCTATTGGTGTTTGGGCATTCAACTATTCTCCCTCCAACTCTTGATATATTGAGAAGTTTTCTAAACTCTATTTCTAGCTTTTTTATATATTTGATTATCATTGTTATTAAGCTAGAACTACATTGAGTTTAGTTTTGATTTATATCTCTTTGTTCACACACAACCTTTTGAGCTTATTGTATTTACATTCATAGTATAATTTGGGGTTGTGGGTTTGTGACTAAGAGTTGTGCTTAATTGAGTTCTCACCTTGTTTTGAGAACAATCATTTGTCATATTTGTGCTTATTGTGAGAATCACTTTGTAATACACTTGTACACCGAGTGAGGAGTGTGTGGTGAGAGTCGGGGATCGTCCCAAGAGGAGTGGCGTCGGTTGACGTGCCTAGGGAGAGGTTGTAACCGAGCACTTGAGGGAGACACGGCTAGGTCCAACACTTAGTGGGTGTAGAGTGTGATTGCAAGAGTGTGAGTTGTAGAGTTTTCGGTTAACTAGAAAACCGAGTGTGTAGAAGAAGTTCCGGCTTCCAAACCGGATTGTGTTAGTGGATTTCTCCCCGGGAGTGGGTAGCGGAGACGTAGGACGAAAGGTCCGAAATCCGTGATCATATTGCTTGTTTGAGTTTGTCTTTGACGTATTTGTTTTTACATTTATCTTATATCGCCAATTGTGCATTACTCATTTATTTCATCCACTATCTTGTTTAGATTATTTACCCTTGTGTTGTTTATATATCCTTGCATATATCTCTATCATATAGGATATATCTCATTGTTCATATTGCTTATCCTAGTTTATTTTCTTGTTGTATTTCATACTTGCTAGGATAACGTGTTAATTAATTTTAATTGGTATTTAATCGGATTAGATTAGCATAAGCCCCTAATCCCCCCCCCCCCTCTAGGGTCTAACACGTGCGAGTTCGAGTCTCGTCCTCGATCCGAATGAACCTCTTCAAATCAGACAGAGTCACTTGTCTTTTCCTTCTTCGAATGTCAGTGGAGAATGACATCCAAGATGGAGGAAGCTTGTTGACAATTACACCAGAAATGAAGGTTTGACAAAGACTGATATTTTCATCCTTCAGCTTCATAACAAGCTTTTCAAGCTCTTTGACTTGAGGTAAAACCTCAGTATCATCTTCGAACTACAAGTCTAGAAATTTGTCAATGATGTAAGATTTGGATAGCTTCTCATCATCCTTGTACTGGTCCTCCAGAGCATA